TTTAAAGATTTTTCTGCTTTTTTTAATATTAGATCATTCATATTTTTAATCAATAACTCTCATCTGAATGATAATTTTTCAATTGCCAAAATGTCAAGTTTATCTTCTTCAGTATTATCATCTTCATCACTCATTCTTGCTGTCTTTATATTATAAATATTCACACTATTCATTTTAGTTATTTATATTCGTTCAACACACTCACGAAAGAATGTATATGCTGATTTGTACGAATCAGATGAATAATGGAAATTATGACAAAAGAGAAACAGGTAAAGAATGGAATAAATATAAAAGATATACATTTGATTCTTTTTAGCCACTAGAAAACATGAGTTATAATTGAAGTAAAACTAGGATAAGATAGTAATATGAGTGATTATTAATAAAAATTTACTTTTAGAATTCGAAAAATTATCATTCAGATGAGAGTTATTGATTAAAAATATGAATGATCTAATATTAAAAAAAGCAGAAAAATCTTTAAAAAAAAAATTTTCTGCTAAAAGCAGAAGAGGTGGCAGCACTGTGAGGAATGTTTATTCGCCTTTCTTGTTCTATTGAACGATGTCTGTAGTGCAATATAATGAATGGATCATGTCGTGTCTTTTTATCGAGTTTGTTGAAAAAGTGATATGGACCAACCCAAGCTAGTTTCTTTTACCCGCAAAAACTTCTTGTCAAAATAATTGACAGCAGATTGACCTCGTCCACTTTCATAAATAATAACCGTCCATTCTTTTCCATAAGTATGTTCGAGCCATTTCTGAGTATCATCAGCGACTTCAAATATATTTGATGATCCGTGCGTGTCAATCGAAGTACTAATTGTGCTTAATATATTTATTCTCATCGGATCCGTAATTCCAGAAGCTTGCGTGATAATTTCCCATCGTCCCATACTGATTTGCTTGGAGAATAAATATCTAGAGTAATCATGTTTCAACTATTTCGAGAATATAGCGAGTTTATATTGCTTATTTACTTGATTTCGCAAAGGCGAGAATGTGTGTGAAAGTGGGTTCGACCTATCGTACTGGTTTTCGACAGCGTTCAGCACGCTATATAAAGTGGTCTCATGGCGGCTTTCTATACCGTGAC